ATCTGATGAGAAGAGAAGACTCCCTGGAAAAGACCCTGATATTGGGAAAGTGTGAAGGCAAGAGGAGAAGGGGACGACAGAGGACGACATCATTGGACAGTGGATCACCAAACAGTTGGACAGTGTCACCAAGCGACTAAGATGAATTTGACCAAACTCCAGGAGGCAGTGGAAAACAGGAGGGCCTGGCATGCTCTGGTCCATGGGGTCACGAAGCATCGGACACAACAACAACTAAACAACAAGGAGCAGAAGACAGGTTTCAACATTGCTACTAGTATCTCTGATGCTGAGGAATGCTAGAAGCAATGCTACCGTTTCACACTATTTTAATTTCAGTGATTCAAAGTTTGTTACAAGAGTACTGTTACAAAGGGTGACCAGTTGCTTCCCTGGATGACAGTTCTTTCCCCTTGAACTGGGAAAGTAATCTTGGATCACATGAGTTCTAGCTATTGAACATTATATAGCAAAAGAATCTGGAAGGAGAGTTGTCCTATACCAGGAGACCTAGTTGTATGGAGCAGCTGGGAAATCAACCTCGAGTGCTCACTGGAAGGACAGATCCTGACACTGAGGCCCCAATACTTTGGCCATCTCATGAGAAGGGAAGACTCCCTGGAAAAGACTCTGATGTTGGGAAAGTGTGAAGGCAAGAGGAGAAGGGGACGACAGAGGACGAGATGGTTGGACGGTGTCACCGAAGCTACCAAGATGAATTTGACCAAACTCCGGGAGGCAGTGGAAGACAGGAGGGCCTGGCGTGCTCTGGTCCATGGGGTCACGAAGAGTCAGACACGACTTAACAACTAAACAACAAAATGCCAAACAGAAGCAATGAGGTTAAGACAGTCATCCCCAACCTTGGGTCTCTAGGTATTTGTGGACTAAAACTCCCAGAAGCCTTCACGACTAGCTGTGCTGACCAGGATTTCTGGGAGATGCAGTCTAAAAACATTTGGGGTCTCTGGGTGGTGAAGCTCTGGGCTAAGACCTAGAAATGAAATCCTATTCACATCTGTCTGGGAATCATATCCCAGTGATATCAATGGGGTTGACAAGGGTGGAACTCACTATCATAAACTCTGGTTATACTTATGAACAACAACAATAAAAAAAGCTGCACTGTGAGACACAGGTTAGAATCAACCTCCGAGGATTCAGGGGCATTTTGCACTTCTCTGAGCTTCTGAGACACATTTCTCAAATAAGCCCCTAGGGAGTGAAACCACATTTAGAGGGCAACGTTCTGTCCCCTGAAGGCTTCTGAGTGCCATTTTGGTATCTCATCTTTTGAAGGATTCCTAGGTGGGAAGGTTGGAGGGAACCTGAGGGGGCTGCAGCTGTATAGAGCCCATAGGCCTCATTCCACATACACATACACCTCGCTTCAATTTGAATAATCACTCTTTCCAAACCCTGTCCCAACGTGCAGCTATTATTCCTCACCGGGAGCTATGAGTTTCCATGTAGTCAGTATAAGAATACCTACCTGCTCTTCTCCACTCCCTTTCCCCTCACCATGCTCTAAAAGGTCTTCCCAGAGGTGAGAGACTGCAACAGGATGAGTAAGGTGGAATGTCCCACTCAACAGAAAATGAACTGCATAAAAGGGAATATGTCTGGATCTGACTGCAGGGTAAGTGAAGGACAGGGAGAGTTATGTGCGTAAGAAAACAATAGGTACAACATTTGTCAGAAGTGGAAACAAGAGGAAGGAAAAGGAGGAAGAAAAAGGGAAAAATAACAACTAAAAATGCAGATTGTTAGAAAGGTATAGTGGCAAGTCCTTCTCCACCAGACCTCCCCACTGTCCAGGTCACACCAGCACAGAAAACAGCCCCTCATATCTTGAGGCATTCTGAATTTTCCATGTGGATTAGGATATCCAAGCCTAGGCAGCAAAGGTTGGTTTCCTGAAATTAAGGTAGCTCTGCATGACACTGATTGATCGGCCCTTGCATCCCTCTCCCCCAAGGCTATAAGAGGGTTCTAGAAGTACTTTGCAAGGTTACTATATCTTGTATTAACATTAGTCATAACCCTCAGAAGAAGCAGTCACCTTGACAATAAGGTGTTTTTGCCAGATGTCCCGAGGCAAAGGTTTTGGCCTCCAGTAAACAAAGAGGGATGTTCAGCAAATCAATGACCCTCGGGCTGCTTTATACTCTGTCTGTTTCATATATATATAGACCATGCATCCATGCAAGACATAAACTATAGCTAGCATGTAGATCATTACACCTTTCCATGTAAATCCTCACTTGTCCCATCCACACGGACATGAGGAACTGCAATATACTTCAATTTTTTTCACACTTTTTACAATGTTATGAAATTAGCAAGGATTTTTGCACAAGACATTTTTGCACTAAATTGCACAGTTCATGCTACTGTACTGATTCTGTGAACGGCTCAAAAGTAGGATGATTGTTGTGTTCTTTCAGAATAGTTTATCAGCATTTTATCAATCAGCCAGTCTTTCATTGTTGTATGTATGTGTGCTTAGTTTGCTTTTCAAATGGAAAGAAATGGAGAGAAATGTAGTTATTTTTGGTCCTGGTTTTGGATGTGTGTGAGGAATCTTTTAGGCCTTTAACGTTTTTCATCAAGGGGTCCCAACATGCCCAAACTGCCTAAAGCAACCAGAATGAAGATTTTAATGATTATTTTTCCATTCCTGTACATACTGTCTCAGATTCTGAAGATCACGAGCTTTCTCAGCATCCCAGCCAGGTATGCAAGAACTGCTCGTGGATCAAAGAATCCTCTCCTCTTCTCTGTTCTCCAGGCATCTTTATTTTTAAAACTGATTCCCAATACAAGTGATTATTACACTACTTCATGTTTGGCTTAGGTATTATTTTATCCCAGAAGCTTTATCCCTTCCAACCTTTGAAACTTTGAATTTTCTTCCTGTTACTCATGCTATTGTTGTACTCCCTTCCAATAAGCCCGAAAAAAAATAATTAAGTATATTTGTGTCGAATCAGAATAAACAACAATTAAAGTGTAGTGAGATAAAAAGGGTTCCGGGACAGAGCTGAACTTCATAGCTGATAAAATCAAATACATTGTCATGTGCATTCAGCCTT